TTACAGAAAGTATATAAATTACACATAATTACACACATTACAAATGTATATTTGCTCAATGATTTTTCTTGTTTTTTACGAAAAGATAAATCACTCGTTTATTTTATTGGCCTTATATTTCTTAAAATATTCTGGCACTTATTTTTATCGCGATATTAAGTATACGGCATTCTTATTCATATTAATAACCTTGTGCTTGAGATTCAAGAGTCGGTAAAAAGTTCCTTGCTAACTTACAAAAAATATGTAAAATTATAAATGGTATTTTGATCTTCAATAAATGAAATAACACATATGGACTACGCAGGTACTGTTTCGATTAGAGAATTGATAAAACTGGTCAAAAATTTCGTAAGTTGTTCTAAAACTGACCTTAGAAAAAGAATGAAATTCTTCTGTTAATAGATATTCCAATTCGCATCGTCCCATTGCATGTAGTAACAGTTGTTCTTTTAGACACCAAATACATTTCGTTATATTCGTTATATAAGTCATTGTAATAGCTGCTAAAATAAAATATAAGCAATTCTTTACAGTGGACGGTGGTAAAGAAATAACTTTTAATTTATAACCTACCGACACATGGTGAAACGAAAAATAAAACTAAAAATAATTTAATAATTAACTTAATATACGCATTATCCCTGTAAATGGTGTCGAAAAAGCTTTTTTCCGGGGTCAACTAGGATGATCTTCAACTATATGAATCTGTTAAATACGAAACGGTAAAAATAAATACCAAAATCTATTTATACGTTCTTCAAAAATATTTCTTAAAAGCCATCTTTCAATGACAAATATTACCTCGGATAATATCGCCCAATTTTCACTTTCACTGTGTACAGTCAAACGAAGTATTAATACCTTCCCTAATTTTGGATTTACTGTTCCTTGAGCAATCCCAAGTGCATCAAATTTTCCTAGTTATAACGTAAATAACGAAGTATGAATTTGAATTAAAAATATAAACATATATTTATATTATGTCATACAATACCTATAATAATATAACCATCTTCGGTAATATCATTATTATTTCTATTCAAGGATACAGATATCTCTGTAAACACTTCTACTGTTGTGTTATAAAATCTATCAGATGGATGTTCAGGATTTCCACTTCTAAATAAGTACCTACATTCACAAAATTTAACAACATTATAATTATATATTATTTAAAATACTGCACGTATATAAAGTACCTTTTTATAAAAATAGGATGGGAAAATTTGAATTTCAAATGATCTCCTGGCTGTGGCAAAAGGCCCCAAAAAAATGATTCACCCTTGTAGGCTTTTTGTAATGTATATTGTTTGTAAGGTTTAATTTGTGTTTCTACTGTTGCTTCTGGATTTTCATGCGCATAATATAATGTTATTTTTCCAAACTGTTTATCCTAAAAATAATATTTATAATTACTCTAAACTATTGGACATTAACAAATATGTAATATTTAAGCATTACTACTTTAATATACCTTCAATTTCTGTACTTTTCCTTTCAATGAAGAGTGTGTTCCTATATGTTGAAAAAGAGAGGGTTTATAATGAACCCACAGTTCTGCTTTAGCCATTTTACAATGTTTCTGAGACATAGAAAACATTAGTAAATACAAATACATGAAACGTTTCGAAAATCTACATATTCCTAACTTATTTTTTAAATTAAACTTACACTATCTTTATCAAGACTACAAACTTTAGTTGATACCAAATGATCTAATAACCAATCAACTGGTTTATCATTATGAAACATTAAAAAAAATTGGATCAACCATGGCAGTTCTGCACATTTAAATAACTTTCCTGTGTTAACAAATGTATGATAAATATAAAATAAGTTCAAAAACATTTAGTAATGAATATATCAATAACATACCAATAAATCCCAACTGACAAAAGTCCAAAACGAACCAATTTTCTTTTGTTACAATTTTTTGTAGAGCAAAAGATTTCATTGTAGTTACAAAACTTTTTTTAGCTAAAATATCATCTTCTAATTGTACATAAAATGTTCCTTTTGTCTGTGCATACGACATAAGGAATGCAAAATCTAAATTTTGTTTCGATCTCCATACTACTCGTTGGTGATCGTCACCTAAAGTATCACGCAATTTTGATAAATCCGGGTAATAAGATGCAGACGGAGATATCACATCGATCACACCAGCTTCGTATTCAGCTGGAAACCTGGAATAAAAATAAACAATTTAAACATATTAAGAAATTAATAACAAAATTAGCACAAGGCAAAAGTAACATTACTACATAATTATCTTCCAAATATAACTTACTGAACTTCAATTTGCTTTGCAACATATGTTACATATTCCAAATCCGTCTGCAAAAACAATAATAATAGTTATAATGCAGAATTTTTAAATAACTTTATTATTACTTTATAGATATTTACTTCAGCAATTAATACAATAATTAAAGTGTCTGCTGTTTCCACAGGATTCATGCGATCCAATAAGTTCTTAAGTGTTGCCATTAAATAACTCTGTACCTCTCTTTTAACTGTTGGTACACCTAGTACCATACTAACTCCAGTACGGCCTTTACTCTGAACAAATGCTGGACGTAAACTATTAGGGTCATTCAAAAAATGAGGAAGAAAATTATATATAGATGGTAATTTTATATTGGTCACATTTGATGTAGCATTGTTAAGTAGAAATTGAAGATCTGGTAAAATGTGATTATTCTCTATTAATTGCAATAACTGATGTGACAACAGGTTTATTTCTTCTTGACTTGTAACATATTTAGCATGTAAATGTTCCAATCTAGCTTGCAATTCTGCAATACTATTTTGCAAAACTGTTTCTTCGTGCAATTCTGATGGTGATAAAAGATTTAAAATGGCGCATGGTACTAATACTATAGAGAGTATGATTAAACATCGTCTTCTTATGGGTGTCAGAGCTACAAAATGAGGCGTCATCTTCTTTATACTAAACTCTACATGATTATAGTCATAGTCTTGTGGAATAAAAACAAATTCTCAATGATATCACATTATAAGTTCACAGCATGGCAAACCTAAAATATATTCATATGTGTAAATGCATTGTAATTGACCAATGTACAGGCTGAAAAAAAAATAAAAACAAATACAGTAACAAATCATAATAATGTATTATGTTGTAAACTAAAATTTTAGTTTGTAAGGTAACACAAATGAACTCATGACAAATTCAGAAGTATATGCCAATTGTAATTTTATTTTTACTTATAAAACATAGTACTTATTTTACAAAAACTGTTTAGACATATAACAAAAGTACTTTATAAAAATATATGTTAAAAAAAAAATACACAGAGAGGAAAAGATGTGATAGGAATATTTGTACTATGTTTCTCAGTGTTTTGTTTTTCGGAAAATTGATAATTACCATGAAACATTTACAACCTTGAATTCTTCGAATAATGACTAAGCAAAACTGGTAAAACGTGTTAGATTTAACAAATATCATTATCGATTATAAAATGTACATTTTAACCGGTGGTCTCTTTCAACGGAAATTTTTTTCGATCGATAATAACATTACTCTAACAATCTGCAAAATTAACTTTTATTAGAGAGTTGATAAGACTTGATAACTCTGCTTTTTAGTAAATGCCCAACAATCACGGAGAGAATAATCCTCTTACTCAAAATTGCTCAGGGTCGAAAGGTTTACTTGATCGTTTTCATTGAATTCGTTCTGGTTCATTTTACTACTAACGCGTCACTCAATTTTTCATTCTCCTTTTGACGTAGATAGATTACGTATTTTTATATTAAAACTATAAAAATTATTACAGTATATTATTACATTGATTCTACATACGTATTATGGCATAACCTATTTTACTACCAAATTAAAGGGTAGCAGCACCGACGGTAGCGATATTTGTAAATTTTTAATAGGTGATAATAGATTTAAAGGGGTACGTTTTGGTAACATATTTTAAAATTCGTGAAAAAGTAAAATCATTCGTAAATTAAAAAACAAAATGAGATTAGTTTTAAATACAATTTACGAAGCATGTTTAAATGGAAGCTGAGTTCAAATTTCAAATAATTTACTTCGTCATGTACTAGAGTAATGATATAAGAACGAGATCAAAATAACATAATAAACATTTACATCATAAATATAACATATATTTTTCTAATCAAGTATTACATAAAACTAATATTTTTTAATATATTTGGATTAATGTAGAAACATTTAAATTTAAGTTATTTTAGGTTCCTTAGCAACGTTATGTAATAAAGAGATTAATAAATATATACATATACATGTATATATAAAATGTATGTTTTATTTTCCCATTACTTTAATTTACGGTAAAAAATGAATGGAAACTTATTTTATATGTTTTTCATTCACACTTTTTTACTTAAATGTTGCAAATTTTACAACAGAAAATATAATTTCATGCTAATATTTAGTATCGCTACGTGTTAAAATAAATGTAGCAATGAAAATGGTTTAATCTTTAGAGACTTAAAGAATTTTGGGAATCCCACTAACACAATTATAATAATTTTATTACTGCTTTTGTTTTTCGTCATTGTTTACTAAATATTGTTTACGATTATTTAATAATACATGGAATTTCATGTTGTACTGAAACATCATGAATGATGAGTGTTAACATTTACATATCTGTATTGAATTGTAGATTATGAAATATTAACCTAGAGACTTTTTCGATATGACATCTTTCACGTGGCTTCGACAGAACCTACGTGTTTTTGAATACTTACAAGGTTAAGTGTGTGTCATGTATTGATTATTAACTAGATATTAATTACTTGGATGTATTAAATATCTTTTGCATTACAATTTATCAACAAAATGACGGTAAGTTGCATACAGTATTATTTAAATGCATGTTCTAATTTTGTAGTCATTTGATCATCTAGCATCTGCAACTATTTCCATATAGTTTATAATACATCAGTCATTAATTTTTAATCAATAAACAATAATTTTGTTATAATAATTTGTTTATAAAAATACAACTAATAGGTAATGTCATTCATTGTACCCTTAGACTAAGAAAACTAAAGTAGCAACAAAAGGGGCAAAACAGATAGTAGAAGAAAATGTAACAACATTGACCTTCTATCAGAATATGATAATTGGAGCAATAGGAATATATTTTACTGTTATGATGTTGCTCTTTAACTTTACAACATTATCAATAGTAAGTATCATATTTAAAATTTTATTTTTACTTTTATAATGCATATCTTAAATCATATGTATCATTATGATATTAATCACAATTACAGACGTTAACCATATTTTCTGGAATTGTATATATAGGAAGTTATCAATTTATGAAATACATAGCACATGCAACATATGCAGAATCTGGACAACTTTTAGATTCTGGAATTGATCTTAACATGGAAGGAGGTATAGCAGAGTAAGTATCACAAATGATTTTAATAACTTCTTTAAATAATATAACACTTTATTACAATATAACAGCTCTGTTAGATATAATAACACTCTCTCATTTTATTCCAGACATGTAAAAGATTTAATTATATTAACTTCAGGAGTACAAGTACTCTCTCTTATATCAAATTATTTTTGGTTGTTATGGCTTCTTGTAAGTATACTTAATAAAATAAATGTTATAAATATAAAACAGTACATCATCATAAATTATAAAACATTTTAAAGTAACTTTTTTTTCTCATATTCCTCTCAACTTTTACTTACATAAAATACTTAAATAGATTACAAAATGTTTACATTGTATCATTATAACAGGTACCATTGAGAGGAGGTTGGATGGTATGGAAACAAATATTAGCTCCATGGTTTTTTGCTCCTGCTCCAGAACAACCTGAGATTAGTGAGAAGAAACAACGGAAATTGGAAAAAAAAATGGCTAGACGGCACTAGTATTTTGATCACATAATAGTGCATTCTGAATCAATATTTAAGAATTTCATGGGTGTGGGATAGAGTTGAGCAAGATTATGGAAGAAAACTACCTACTACATGACTTTTGTTTCAGCTTACATTGTTTCATATGCTATTTATGAAAAAAGTAACTATGTCTTTTATATAAATTTTTACATAAATTATAAAATTATTTTTTTAAAAAATAAC